AATTCGCCATTTTTCCGCTTTAAATTATAGTTTTAGCTATATAATATAAAAAATAACATTACTCGAATAATCATCATCAACAATTGGTGAAACTTACTCAAAATATTCGTTAATTATCGAAAAAGAATCTTGCCTTTAGAAAAACTACAATTTCAATCACCATAGCAACCGTTGCTATGCAAATTTAAATTTCCTATTTTATTCATGAAATTTAAGTATACAGGAAGCCTAAAGTTTATTAAAATCTTTATTTTCATAGGTTTTATGAATATGTTTAACATCTGAATTATCTATTATTATCATAGAATAGGATTACAGTATGTAAAAATTTTGCTGAAACTTTGATATAATTGCATAGCAATACTCTTTTTATCGTCCATAGCAACTAAGCAAAATCAGCAGAATTGCTGTACATTTGTCATTGACTAAGCAAAAATCATGAGATACAATATTTTTATATAATAAACATCTTTTATTGAACAAATTTAACGCATTGATGTATAAAATACAAGGTCATCACCATATCAACTGTTGCTATGCAAATTTAAATTTCCTATTTTATTCATGAAATTTAAGTATAAGGGATTTTTTCATTTCATTTCATTTCTTTAGGCACGAGGGCCAAGGATATGCCAATAAGTGAACATAATCACTGTCCTACGTGGCATATCCATTAAACAACAGGGGACTTAATGGACCAGTACACCGGGGTAACGCCCTACTCTTCTCGAATGATGTACCGGGTTCTTTAAAGTGCACACGAGCCAAATGCGTACACTGGGCCTACGGTTTAAAGTCCTTATCCGAGAAGACTTGTTCCACCACCGGAACCATTGGCGAGTGAGCCGTTCTAACCAACGGTTCCGGATGCTTAAAGCTTACTGTATTGAAATCATCATTGTCATAGGTTTATGAATATTTTTGTATTTAGGTTATGTATGAGCAATATTTAAAAAAAACCCAATCAAACAAACACCTTTACTGAAGTGCTACGGAACTTTTATAACTCCATAGCAGCGAATGGAATTCACATAATTGCTGTTATTATTTATCTCAAGAAAAATATTATTAGATTGGCTTATACAATATTTTTTATACGATAAACAGCTTTTTATAGAAAAGTGAATTTAATGGTGTAATAAAATACAAGGTCATCACCATAGCAACCGTTGCTATGAAATTAAAATTTTCTAATTTTTCATAAAATAAGTATATAATGAAGACCTAAATTTTAGTAATAAATAAACTATTATAGGATTTATGAAAAATGCTTGAAATGAATGAAATGTTATTGTCTTTTCAAATAGTAGTTGGTCTATCAATGCTTTTAATTAAGTTTTTTTTAAATTTCATTAATAAAGTATAAAATAATATATAGGCCTAATATGGAAATTTATGCTAAAGGAGAATGTTTATTCACAATAACCATGCAAAGTCAACAAAATTATCTTCTCTCATAAATCAAGAAAAACATTTAACTTTTATATAATAAACAGACGGCTAGTGCTCATTTACGTTACAGAAAATGACATGTAGATATTTTTGAAAAGGTCATAGGCCTATATGTGGTATCAACGGCGGCGGAAGCGGGGGGGGGGGCACCCACTTTTTCCGCTGGGGGGCCTCCCCCCACTTTTTCTCCTGGGGGGCCTCCCACACTTTTTTGACTGTTCCCAGCACCAGTGACAAACATTTTACGAACGCTACAATGTCATTATTATTATTATTATTATTATTATTATTATTATTATTATTATTATTATTATTAT